GAAATACTGCTTTCTTTACACTTGATACCAAAAAAAAGGCCTAGGTAACCAAAAATTGTTTTTCTTATATTTATTTTAAATATTTAATTTTAGATTTATTAAATCTGAAAGTTGCAGACATTGTTTTTGCAAGCTCAGCATGCTCAACAAGTAATTCTGAGTACCTTTAACAAGACAAGACTGATTTTCCTATTGGGAAGATTAATTTCTCATTGCTGTTGTTGTATAAGTACAGGCCTGTTTTCCTTTGTAATAAATAAAGCTGAAGTCAACACATGTAACCACCGGTGTAATACCTGCATGTTGTGAAACTTGCCCTGACTCAAATCTGCTTAATGGTTTTCCACTGAAAATTCAACATCTGCCAACACCACACAAATCTTGATAACTGATGTCATCGTGAACCCATTAAGCCTTGGTTTTTAACATGTTAGGAAAACAAAGGGTTTATGGAAGACTGCTAACAGAGGGCTAAATTCTGGAACCCTTATTTAACAGTAGGAATTGTTCTTTAAGTAAGGTGTGAGTAAGAACATCTTAAGCCTGGCAGAATGTAAGCAAGCTCTTGTTCCACATTAAATTTAATTAACCAAGCCATTCATGAAAATGACACCGTAAGATATGAAACCTGTCACTGCAAATCACCTTTCTTCACTGAGGCTGATTTGGGAATGCATGTCCTGCCACACCAGCTACTAACTTTGATGTGTCACAGCTGTGATACTGCAGCAAGGAAAAGCCATTTAAATAGAGGGGGAGCTTTGGAGGAGTTATTTAGGCATTTTCCCCTAAGGATCTGAAACTTCTCAGCAGAGGCCATCCAGAGATACACACTGAATATAAAGGTCTTCATACTAAAATCTCATAATATGCCTGCAGGATCCCTGTAGCAGTAGCTAAGGGAAAAGCTGTGTAGTGTTGAAAGTGGAAGGAGCATCTATCCAGATAAAGGAGGAATCCCAAGTTATCTCTAACATCCATACACCTGAAAAACTGATAATGCCTATCCAGCAGTTTGTTTCCTGGGCACAGAGGTGGTTAATCAAAGGTACAGCCTAAGACCTGTGGGGGAGGGAAAGTCACTTAATTAATGTGCCAGATATCCTTGCCAAAGCTTTCGCCAAGATTAGGTTCAGATTGTAAAGAAATCTCCTAGAGAAGGATAATTCTCAACACCTGCGGGCACTTTTATTAGCTGCCTGCACAGAATAGAAAACCTTATGTTAAAGCATTTTGTCTCCGCTCTACCAAACTGACCTCACATGCTTTTATCTGGACATAACCATAAGCAGATTTTAAAGCAGGCTGCAGACGAGTTTGCTAATGGGCGAGTGTTCTGTGGCAAATTGACTGGAGTAAAGTAACCTGTGGATGGAAGCAATCATATAAGGCTGTTCAAAAGGGGAGGCCGTCAAAACAAGGGTAGGTTTGGGTGCACAGAGAAGGAAGAGAGTGAGAGAGATCACTAAGATCTTTAACACATTCAGAGGAGGTACCCACCTAACACAGGATTATGCTAGATCCAGGCCCGGACCACCAGAGCCGAACCTTGGCTTTGTTAAGAGGAATGGAACAGTTCCTGCAAACCTCTAAATCTTTTTCTCCTAACAAAATTTCAGCAGTGTTTTTTCTTTGTTTATTTTGGAGTTTCTGGCTTGTGTTTGTTTGTCTGTTGCTGCTTTGGGGGATTTTGTTTGTTTCTTTTTTTTTTTTTTTTTTCCCAGAGGCAGTTGGTTCTACAACATTGCAGAACAAGGTTCAAAAGTTGAATGCATAGCCACAATGCTTCTAAGGAAACAAAACCTCAGTAAACACCTGATGTGTTTAAAAACATATTACAATAAATCTAGGAAATTATTATGTTTTGGTACTGCATAATGTAACCCCTCACTAGAAGAAATCAAAATGAATTTAAGATCTGTTTTATCCATATTTGGTTGTGAAATAATTTGTTCTTATCTGAAAGGAACAGTTACAACTGTCTGGTAGAGGCTTATGAAATTGTTATTCACTCTTGATCCAGTGATATATATTTTCAGCACATATAAACACACAGACATGCACAGACATGTGCAACACAATTTCTGCAATGATTTTTGGCAGCAAATCATGAATTCTCAAATGTTCATAGTTCTACACACTTTAAACAGTCTCTTTTAAATTTAAATTTTATTTTTCTGTGGTTCAAAACAGTCCTACCTTTTTTTTTCTACATAGAAGAACAGCAAGAGGGCTCTGATTTCCATTCTTTTGGTGCTAACAAAATACAAGGACTGGCAATTATAAAAAAACATCTGTGACTTTGGAAAATATAGTGAAAATCTTTCGCTTTTTCAAGGAACAGTCTTGAATATTGTCCTGAGCTTTGGTGGTTGCATCGCTGCTCTGATTGCATTTTCTTGTTCCTGTCTCAGTTGCACCAGAATCCTTTAAAATAAAATGTTAATGACAATTCACAGCCCTAATTTCAGGTCAGATCTACCCCTCTTCAGTCAGGCTAACCAGTACCTCAATCTGCAAGAGCCTAAATCACCTAAATGAATGATTGTCATAATAATGAGTAAATGATCAGGTATATCAGAAAACTGCAGTGACTCTCAACTTCGACTAATTTCTCCTTACAGTTTTTCCTAGCAAACATCACAAAAACAGTTAATCATCCCAGGCATCAATTGCCCCTAACCTGAGATGGGGTAATTTATGACACTTGACCACTTACTGTGCAGTCAGTGCTGCTATAAAGTGCTGCATGAGGTAAGAGAAGAATTATGACAGAGCCCTGCCATTTGCAGACATTTGCAAAGGAGTTGCAGAATCAGATGTTCATGTCATGATCCTAAAAATTTGGGAGGAAAGGCTCTTCCACAGCCTCTGATCTAATGGCTCACAGGCTAAGCAATTCCTGGGCAAATAAAATATATTAGTTCAGGGCTGATACTGATTTTAACTTTCAGGAAGATGAATATAGTCTTAATTTCAACTAACTGTGCACACTTTAAACACTATAAATCTCTAACTATTATTAGCTTTTACAAAGCAGATAATGAAAAAAAAAAGCAAGTGCAGTGGAATATTCCTAAAAGTGTTCATGCTTGTCCAGGAAGGTAAAACTGCTGCTAGGGGTCTGAGCCACAAGGAAGAGAGCATTCCAGCACTCTCTACAATCCAAATTCAAGATAATGGCCTTCTCCTGCCATTATGTTACAACTTACAATAATTTTAAACTTATTCTTAGGATTTTACTTTGAAAACAATTCTGGGTATGTATATAAAAGAGTACAAATATCGATCACCTTTTTAAGGACTGAACTTAATATCTAACACACCATTTTCAGTACAATAATTATTAAAGACAGCTGTGCAGATAACTGTTAGCATTGCTGATATAGGTTTCTCTAGATAAGACCTAACTATTCATCTTATTACAAACAATGGGATATGAAATGATCCAGAGAGCTGCAAAACGTAACACACTTTTGTGTTCTGTGGAATTTGCTCAGGCCTCAGCCCTAAAGAGTGAGTTCATCAGAGTTTTACACCTGACTAGTTTCACCAGTTGAGAGAGGGTTACTCATGCGTGTCATGTTAAATGTGAAAATAAGTGCCTGCAGGAACTTAAGGAGCAACACAGGCACTGAAAAGACAGCATAATCTTGATGGGAAAATCACAGAAATATTCCTTCGTGAAAATAAAAAAAAAAAGTGAGCCTGCCATAATAAATTCATCAGTGCAAATTTGGCAAACAGAACCATGGAGGCTGACTGTAGTTTTTCCACTGTAAGCCTGACCTGTAACTCATTAACCTACCACTAAAACAGTATTCACCTCATATTCAGTTATTCGAAGAACTCAAAGGAAAAGAAAACTGGAATGAATTTTTATTCCACTTCCCTGGAAAAAGGGCAAGCCATGCCATAGGTGCAAAATTTCATAAACACTAGAAAAAGACCAAAAAAGAAACTATGAATGACTTATTGAATATGTTCATACAGCATTCCTTTTTTTTTTTTTTTTTTGTCCACATTAACACCATTGGACTGTAACTCTACTTTCATATTTCATTGTTCTCACATATATGTAAACCAATCCTCCTGAAAACCAAGACTGCGAAGGTTCAAGACCAATGATAAAACTTTTAACTATTTCCCTGGGTACTTTCCATCTGCCCCATTGCTAACACTAGCATTTCAGGGTATTTCTGCAAACCCTGAAATTACACCAAAATCACTTTTAAATCTTTTCTTAGAACCTGAGTTCATGAATGTTAGTTTAGGAAGTCTTAAAGGGAGCCATTCAACCAAATACTAACATTGCTTTCTATTTCATGGGATTGTGCAGAATTTAAAACAGCCTTAAACCTGGCCCATGGTGGTTGTTTTTGCATGGGTTTATCAGAGTCTGTCTAAGTAAAGACAGTTCTATAAATAAAACATCAGGCCTTCTTTATCCTTCCTGTTATTACCCTCATTAAGAGCATAGAAAGGTCACAGTATGTGAAAAATTGTGAAGCATTAGACTAGACCCCTTACATGGGAATAAAACCAGTACTTCCCAAATTCCTTCAGGAAACTCAGATGAGTGGCTCACTGGAAAATGAACTTCACTCCAGCTTCCCAAACAAGCATTTGTCATTTATTGAAGAATTTTAGGGTGATTTCTTTCCTCTAGTCTTTATATAAGCCTTCTAACTGAAGCACTGCAACTTCTAAATAAGGGAGCATAGTTTCTTGCAATCTTGGAAACAAAAGTTTATTTTTATTTTCCTCAATACAATGCAGTTTTGCCTATCTTAAGTCTCCCTATCTCATCCTTCAATTTTAAGGTCCCTGAGTTTTCAGGCTGCCCTTTGGCAGTAGCAAAAGGTGCCTGTAAGTTACCAATGCACACAGACTAACCAAACTAATACCTTCCCCCTGCTCTGAAAATTGTCTAGATAATACATCACCACCAACCTCAAAGATTTCTAACTTCTACTTTGCTGGTTTTTGTTTAATTTCAGACAAGAGAAGACCCTACTTGCCTTAAAGCCTGATTGGTTTCTTCCAGCCTTAGTAGCTGATGTAAAGAAAGAAAATGCTTCTTCTTACAATCCTGGACAGAACTCTTCAAGTCATCTTGGAGACTGGAAAGACTGTGGATTTTTCTGGGAAGAATGTTTCTTCAGCTCTTATTTCTGCACTCCAAACAGATGTAATAAATTCTGCACAAACACAGATAAGCATAACTCTTATGTGTGACTAGTTTTCAGAATCGATAGCAAAAATGCAATCCATTTTGATTTGTGTTTTTAAGCTGCATAGCAGAGGCTGATCAGCACAGAATTCGCAGTCTAGAGGCAAACCCTTTACAAAGGCAAATTACAGGACTGGATGGACATTAAGAGCATTCTCTTCATTTCTGCAGCATTTTCTCTACTGCCTGGTCCAGTTCTATAAAATACAACCTTGAAATGGAGGGGCAGGACTAATCCTATTCCAAGTTACATGTGCCTAATTTCAAAACTTTATGCCTGAGTGCTGTCCACATTCAGATGGACACTGTGTGTTGCTCACTCTTCAAATTCACACACTTTTATTGCTTTGATTCAGTTTACAAAACAGTTTATAAAAAAGACAGTTTGAGATGCTGTATTCCTGTTTCCTCCAATAAGGCATAGCCAGACAGACCACATAAAGAGTATAGTTTCTTTTTGCCTTTTCTCTTGTAAGGAATGCTGACTTATAATGGGTTAAAAATCTGCTGCTAAGCACTGGCCATTTTAAGGTGTATTCTTCTCCCCTGCTGATTTGCCCTCTGACCTTCTGGGGGCCAGGGTGGCTGCAGACTTCATTTTTGCTCTATTTCCTGGTCTCTCTCCTGGCTGTGCACTCAATGCTTCCACAGCAGATTAATGACAGCTAATAATATCTGATATATCTGGACATTGCCACATAATGAGTTGCAGTCCCACTGGGTGCCCAAAGTGTCACTACTAACAAATTCACCAGAGCAGCATATAATTAGCATGTAAAGGGAGTGATCATGCAGTAAATCTGGAGGGGAAGATGGATAGCCCACGAGGAAAAACTATAAGGGAAAACTACTATTCTTAACACTCATTGGTAAATGTATGTTTCTTGCCATGAATATTTTCTTGATAACAAACTGTGGACAGGTTACCTTTACAGTAACATTATTCCTTCCACGGCTGATAGGCAGAATTTCATTATGCCACTGCTAATGTTACAATATTTCTGCAAAATGTCACCATATGTAAATTAGAAGAGGTTAGGGTTTCCATCTTAGTTTTCTTTCAAGATCCACTGTCCCTTTCTGCTATAGCCTAATTCCCCTTTCTACTAGTTTACAGACATGCTAACATTGACCCAACCTTGCAAAAGAAAATTGGCAGTGGAGGATCTTCCTTCTCCAATAGCTAAATAAGAGGCTTGAAACTCCATACATGGTGGAGAAAAGATAGGAGAATAGAAACAAACTTGCTGTGCTTTTATGCCAACGCATAACCTCTCCTGACACATCAGAATATATCCAGTAAAATACAATGGGATGCATGGCCAATGTGAGTTTCGTGGACTGTTTGGACTGATCCAAACACGGGTCTCTGTTTTGTGTCCATCTGGCTGACCATCACTCCCTAAGTATGGCCTGCAGTTTGGGTATGGGAAAAGAGGCTTTCCCAAGAGGAAGGGGTCGACAAGGAGCAGATGAATTGTCGTGATGGGCTGCATTCAGCCTGAAGAGCCCTGAATGGGACAGCTCTGCTCTAATTTGAGTCTGTCACTTGTCCTCATTAGAAACCATTGCTCAGCAGTGCTAAAGACTTCATTTTGGTTTCAAATTGTGTCATTTACAGGCCTTTTTCCTCTTTGACATCTGTGTGGGAACATTTATATTTACATCTCTAGCTCTGAGGTTTATTTGAGTAACCGACCAAATATCTGGTTAATTCCAAGTGCAAGGGTTTGAGCTTTTCAATTATTCTTTTGCTGAACAGAGGGCCTTTGGCCCTGAAGGCTCCAGACTTTCAATCCTTTTTGCTCATAAGGCTCTTCTGTCATTTGAGAGGAAAAAAAGTTAACAAGGAAGCCTCGCTTAGAAAACCAAACTGAAATCCTAACAAACAGACAAACGATTCATCCTATAACACAAATATTTTACCATGATAAGCAGATACTCAAAGATGTGGAAATTGTGTGTTAGTTTAGTTATATAGATTTATATAAATTTGTATTGATTTATATAGCTATAGAAATGTATAAGACCTTTATAAACAAATACATAATTTATAACTTTAATGTTTTATAGTAAAATATAATTATAATATGTTATCTAAAGATTACAGTTATATACATTTATATAACTAAATAAAATCACACTTTAGCTTAGTTTAATCTCTATAGCCTTCTTCTGCAGGGAGTGCCTGGCAAGGAGAGCCTTGTGATCCTGGGGCTGAGCAAGCAGCAGCTGACAGAACCAGAGTTATATCCCGGGCAGGAACTGCACAGAGCACGGGTACCAGCCTCTGTTTGTGATGCTGGTGAGCACTGCTGATAAACCTTGGCACTTTTCAGAGTGTGAGTGGCTCCCCAGCAGGGCAGGGATGCACCCTGGAAACAGCAGCAGCTGCTCCTGCCCACAGCTGCATCCCTGCTTCTGTCCTTAGCTACGTGCTGTGAGCCTCACAGATCAGTTCGTCAGCTGCAAAAATTTCTGTGGCTTGTATCTTTATGGGGTTTCACACTGCTTTGCATTCTGCTAAAGAATAAATTTTTGGAGTCACATAACTTTAGTTTTCAGACTCTTTTTTTAAAAAGAAGGTTTACAAACTGGGTGTATAAACCCTAGGGACTTAAAAATTGTACAATTAATTAAAAAGCAAGCATTTAAAAAAAAAAATCCAGCAAGTTTTCCTACTTAGAAAGACAATTTAATTTTGTAAGGAACAAAAAAGAAAGAAATTAAAAATCCTTAAACTTTTCCTGACAAATAACATCTTTAATTTCGAATCCCTTGTTCTATTTCCTTGCTTCTGCAATCCATATGGTAACTCTCAGACCAATTATTCAATATTCACCTTTTCACATCATTTCTTTGAATACAAAAAGATCCAAATGAATAAAAACAAAACAAACCAAATCAAACAAAACAAATAAACCCAAAAATTCAAACAAGGCTTATATTGTTTGTCTTGTTTTTAATGAAAGAATGAAACTCACAGCCTATCCAACTCCCACAGGGGCCTTTTTTTGTGCAATCTTAATGATAATTAACTGACAGTGATTGATGGTTAGTTCTGAAGTAATAGTAGATAAAACTGCCCAATTCCATCCAATTCGCTTTTCTATTTTTTACGAGTCCTTGTTTATTTCTGAATGATATAAAATGAATTATTTGTCCAATTATAATTCCACATTTAAAGTTCATCAGGAATGCATTTGCCCAATTGTTCTGTCGTTTTGCTGACTGAAATTTCCTATAGTCAGATTTGTTCTGTGTCAGGTTTAAGGAGGACAACTTCTTTTGCCTTCAAAATACATGAAAACATTCACATACATTTCCATATATTTTGTAGGCAGAAGTATTTCTGCTGGAAAATGGGCCCTGGCACACTGAGGCCATACAGAATTCTTGAATGTGTCCACGTGGAATTATGTTGAAGGGAACATGAGTCTTTTTTAGCTTCATTTCAAAATATTGTTGTTAGCATTGTAGTCACCTCTAGGAGTATTTTTTATATGCACTGAACAGTTTTTCTACAAAATCACATTTGCTGAGAAATTCCCAGAGTCTCACATCCAACTTTGGTCTTGTTGAAACTCACAATCTCTATACATTGTCTGGAATGACTACATGAAATTACTGCAATTTGTTCTTTATTCTTCAAATCTACTGTTTTAAATAATTGCTGCCATTATGCTGGTTGTGTCAGCTTTAAAATTTTGTACATATATCAACTATTTTTAAAGGTTTTTGCAGAAGTTTCTTGCTTTGCCTGGAAAATGGTCCAATTTGAAGCATTTATATTACAGAGAAGGTCTCATGTTTTAAATTTCTTCATCCAAAGGTGAATTCTCTCTAGTATTTTATAATTTCCTGCATTTGAATGATATTATTTTGATTGCTTTTTTGAAATACTCTTTCCTTCTTTTATTGGTTGAAAGAAGAATAAGTTCTTTTTAGACATGCAGCATTCCCTTAACAGCTTCACTGCCCTTTCAGTGTGTCATTACATATAACAAAATGTACACACAATGCACCCCTTGGGAGTTGAAGCTTATCACGGTGCAGTACTTTCAAAGTGAGTGTTTTATACCATTTGGCACCCTGAGGACATGTGAGGTGACACCAGTGATCTCTCAGGAGAGACCTCACTGATTTCTTACTGCTCTTGCTGATGAAGAAATTAGTCAATAACTATATTCTGTAAATTCTAGCAGTCTTTTCTTTCCTCCTCTCTCTCTCCAGTAAGACAGAGGCTGTGGTAAAACTGCATCTGCCTGGGCCTCAAGGCATGTTCAGTTCTTGCCTACCTTTATGCCCTCCTTGATGAGAGCAACAAATCAAGTTCAAGCATCCTGTACTGAGGGATCCTTCACTAGCCAGACACTGCTAAGCCCTGACTACTAGGTGAGACTTCATGGAGGTCTATCAACAAGTCTCAATCATCCATACAGGTTATTGCTCAGGGACAAGGGACACGTCTCTCTGCCCAGGGGCTGCCTGCTGTCACTGAGCCATCTTTTTCCAATACAATCAGTGATCATTTGACACACAGGGGACTCCCAGACTTCCAGGATTATGGCCAATAAACCCTCTCCACTATGAGAAGAACAACCAGTGGCCATGAATCATGCATTTTTCAAGCAATAGAGAAGATGGGCAATACATAAATACCTCCTTATTTTTGAGGAATGCTTTTCTTAAGAATAAACTGGGAAATGCTGGTCTCTGCACAAGAAAAAAGAATATCCCTGCCTCACGCAGAAATGTCATAGTCCCACTGCTTCAGAGATAACTACAAATGGAAAAAAATTACTGCAAGAAAACTGAAGGTGTTTTGTTGGGTTTTTTTCTCATTCAACTGAAGGAGCAAAGCAGCAACAGCAAATAATTTTGTGTAAAAAGAAGTCTTTCTTCCAAGTGACCTGAAATTAAATGTTTCTTTGTCATACACTGTGACCAAAGTAAGGGACACAGAAGTATAGAATGGTTTCAGTTGGAAAGGACCTTAAAGTTCATTCAACTTTTTTTACTTAGTGGGAAGCAGCACAAATAGGAAAGACTGAGAGACCCCACTTCACTTCCCTCAATTTAAAATATTAGAGCAATTCTGACATCTCTGAGCAAATGAGTGGCTTAAGTTCAAAACCCATCAGGTGAAGGTAGAAAAGGACCTATGCTCTTTCAGTCCTAGCCTCTGTGTTGCTCAAAGGGTTGAGAGGCCAGGGCAGATACATACTCTGCATTATAAATGTTTAGTATCAATTTCTTTCATCAGAGAAAATTGCTCATGAAAATGACACAAATCAGTGTTTTTCAACAGGCTTTCTTCTAATTTTATGTACACCCACCTATGTAAGTAACATCAGAAACATATAGTAATGAAGACAATCATCCAATTCTAAATAATTTGTTATCTGGCACAATGTCAAATTTCTTCACAACAAGCAAGAATTATAACATGCATCCAAGACTTATGGAGAGAATGATATGTTCATATTCCATGGTATTTCATGTATGAAAACACCTGAGATAATTTTTAGATCTAAGGCCACAGGGTAAAAGACATCCTTAATTTTATGTTGGTAGGCCATTATAAAACAAAATAACAGATAAACTGACCTCTCAGATCCCGTTTTGAAGTATCTCTTGGTCTCACCAAAGCATGGGTTTAGATTTATAAACTTCTGTCAATGGGACTGCTTTCATGTTTTGATACTTTTACAGCTTCAAGAGAAGCCAGTTACCAGCCAGGTACTTCTTAGTGAGACATGGAATTTAAAAAAGCCTTAATGGGTTTCAGGATATAATCTAATTTACCTATACAAGTGGTTGTTCTGCTGCAAAGCACAGAGACCTTCTTGTACTGCAGAATCATGACTTTTCTCCCCATTGCCTAAATCAGGCATCAGCTTTTCTGTTCAACACTTAGGTCCACAGAGCAAGGAAAGATGAAAGAGAGGGACTTAATCTCATTGTGTCTTGTCTGTGGTTAATTGAGAGGAATAATTAAGAGGAGTTTGAAAGGAGAAAGCAGGCACCAAACCACACTGGAAACAGTAGCATTGATGTGCACTAAAGGGCAACGTGAAGGGAGAGCAGAAAATTAGATATTCCAGCACCTAGTTTTAAACTTTCATTTATGAAGTTTTGGAACAGGCCTGTTCTCCTAGTTCCTGCTGCATGTTCCTACCATGCAAGTAATGGAAAATGAACATATTAGCTATGCATAACCTGAAAGAGACCAAGAACCCTGCTGTGACCCCTGTTCAATTTGCAGAGCTGAGATTTTACAGATAAGGACAGTCCTACAGCTACATGTACCAGAAAATCAAGCAACACCCAGAGCCCAGGTCATTTTCTCTGGGAAGTTTCTTTTCAAAACAGATATATTTAGCTAAAGACATTTCCTACTCATTTTCTTTGAATTTCTGATAGGTCTGGAAGAGAGCTCTCCTATTTGAGGCAGAATGCTCACAGGATTGCACAAATGTCTGCTCCAATAATGGGAACAAAGTTTAATTCTATTTCCCTTTGTCCCACTAAGTTTCAGGCCAGGTTTTCTAACACAGTTTGAAGGTTGTTATAACACAAGCAACCAACCTCTTTCCAGAGTGGAGAAATTAACTGATTGAAATCCCTGCTGGTGTTATGACTCTGTATTTGGAATTATATTCTTACTGGTCATTTTGCTTGACAAAATAATATCTAGGTAGGTACAGAAGTTCCAGGTTCCATGTTGTTATATGCATTTGCACAGGCATCCACAATTTTTGAGCCAGCGTTACTTTGCCGTCATGTTATATTGGGGAATTGGAAGAATGGAAAACAGCCTCTACTAAACTTGGTGATTCATTTAAACAAGCTTTGTTTCAGTAAAGCAAAATTTGTACCAGTCTACATCCCAATTATCCCAGACAAATCTGCCATGATTTGTAATTACATTATTATTTTAAATTAATCCATCCATGAATTACAGTGGTCTTTTGTTTATTCACTTGTTTAGGCTGGTCTAAAAAAATGAGCAAAGCTTTCAACCATTTATAATAAAGGCAAAATGACCAAAAAGACCTACTTTTTTTTTTTTTTTAGTTTGCATTAATGAGTTCATCCCAAAATATATATGCAATAATAGAGGAAATTAAGTTATAAATGTAGGGATGTGCTCCAAGACACCATGAAAATCTGCATGCAAATGCATAATAATCACAAATCTACATTATTACAATATTAAAAAATACCTACAATTAAATTATCATGTGGAAATAATCATAATGTTATTGGAAACTCAATTATTGTGGCAACCCTTGTCGGGGAATTAGCAGGCTATGGCAAAGGCAAGTCAGACCTGAATTCATCAAATATATATTATCACAATATTACATGTTCACTTCGATTCCATGCAAAGACAAACATCCTCACTCACTAGTATCTGCTCAATGCATTTGTATTATTCATGAACAACTCTGTGATCTATTATACATACAAAACTGATTGTACGCTGCTAGCCTGAGGCTACAATGCAGAGACACAGAATTAATTTTATTATATACACATGCATGATAATTGTGTAGAATTCGGTCAAATATCAAACTCTGCTCCTGTGCTCCATTATTTTACTTTCCAAAAAGAGGTCTAAGGTCAGCAGCAATTTCTCTTTGGTGACAGTGAAACTCTTTGTCATTTAGAGTAGAAAGTTCCTGGGTACTAACGAGCCTGGTGCTATGATGAATGGTCACACATTCCCTTTCCTTTCCAACCCCCACCCATCAAAGGGAAAATGTAACTTTTATTGAGATTCTCAAGAATTTCTTGCTTCTCATGCACACAGAAGTCACTTTGGGCAGCGGACTTACAGACTTCATTTGCCAAAGAGGGAGGCAACTTTTTCATTTGCTTTGTAGACTTGGCTAAAATTGTGTGAGAAGATGATCAATACAATTAGGGGAACTTATTTGCAGCTGTAAGAACCGCTGTTATTTTCAAGACATTTAAGTAAAACCTCTAAAAATGTCTTCACAGAACCCTCTCCTCTGCTTCAAGTTTTCACTAAATTAAAAAGAAACAAAACAAAACCAACTAACTCCCTTTTCTTTAATAGCACAAAGGACTTATGGGAAGGCCTCCAAATATAGAAAAGCCAGAGAGACAAAGATTAGTGCCATACAAGACATTTGTAGCTGTTTGAAGATACTAAGAGGTAGAAATGCATCAAAATTAAGAAGGAACATGAACAAGGCATACCTCAAAGTCCTGGCACACATAAAAATGACATTTAAAATCATCAGGACACTCAATTTCAATATATTATAATTTAGGGGGGCAGCCAGATTTAGGGGACTAAGTTGTATGTATATACTTTGGCAGCAATATCTATTGTCACTCGAATTCAGAGATGGGAAACAATTTGCGCATTGCACAAACAACCACTGGCATAAACCTAGCCAAATGATCCAAAAGAGCTTTTCCAGGAGTGAGAAGAAGTAAATGGTACCCTTAACTGAAAAAAGAAACTGTCCAGTGTGAGATTCTGCATGCTGAATTAAAAATCAAACCCTGAAACTTCTCCTGTAATTCTACTCCATCCACCATCCAGGGTTTTGGCTATCATGCCCTGAATCCCTGAGTTTTAAAAGTGAGGAACTCTCGCTCCTTGCTGAGTGCGTTTGGAGTGCAGTCCCATTCAAGCATATCCCAAACCCATCTTTGCATTACTGCTTTCAACAGTCACAAGCAAAAGGGCCTCCCCAATGCATTTATATTCTAGATTAATAACATTTGAAGAAATAAACTGTAACAAAGATTCTAAAGGGTCTCTCCTAGTCTACTTATCATCTAGGAAAGATTTAAACAATGCCATCTTTAAATCTATGTTTTGTATGCTTATGTCATGACCAGAGTCCATAATTTTCACAGTTCCAAGAACAATCCAGGGGGATCTGCATTTAGCAGTACATGGATCATAAGTTTACCACAACATCACTAATTTACTATAAATCCATAAAATTTTCACTTTGCTAATTAAAAAATATGATTGACACATAGGAAAACCTCAGGAAGGAGGAACAGAACAAATCCCTTGCAGAGCTACATCACAAAAGGTAATAAATGAATGTGTTTAGGTGGGCTGTTTATCTTGACTGACTCGTGTCATCAACAACAGAAATAGCAAAACCACAGTTCTGACCAGTCTCTAGGACAGCAGTTCAGCCCACTGAAATGTTGGGGATGCAAAAGAGAAGGACTTCTGTAGAAGAACATCTCAGTAATGCATTTTGTCACTCAAGTGTATTATAACTCCATTCTGTTCTTGAATATTTCTGGCTTTAGGTTGGCAGAAGCTACAATTTTTTTAGTATTAGCAACTGTTATGAGAGGGCTGACACCTTTTAAATATTCCTCTCTTTCACAGTAAACCCATGATTATTTTCTGCCATTTCAGAAACAGGTGAGCAGCAGGACCTTACAGCTCAGGCAGCATAATCTACCTTCAATCTTTGCTGTAAAAGTACACAAGTTGTTGGGGTGCCTGGAATATTTCTCCCACAGATCATTAGTTTGGCAGGCTCTGGAAGTTCAGTAAAGATAATGGGGAGAAAGGTCCTACTGAAACTGCTCAATTTGTCATCATTACCCCAGTTCCTGTGAGGGCCGAGAGTCGAGTTCAGATAAAAGTACAAATTTTAAGAAATTTCATCGGACCTCACCCAAAGCACCAAAGCTCTTAGGAACATGAAGAGTCAAACTATAAGAGAGGAAACACTTGTATTCAGCCTGAGACTGTTGCTCAGTTTGATATGCCTGAAAACACCTCTGAGAGTTACCCATGGCATTCTGGAACTTTCTCACTGACCTTCAACTTCCAAAACACACTAAAACATACAAGGAAAAAGCCCGTAGCTGCTAAGCCACATTTTCCAAGCTTCTAAAATAAACTAATTTAAAAAGTCATATTGCCTTAAACTGTTTTGTCCAACTCCACTTATTAGTAACCACTAGAAGCACTGGCTGGAAAGCAAATTCTTGCAAAGACTGAAGTTATTTCCTCAGTTAATATTTATTTTGCTTGTATCCATAGAAGTACTACATGGAAGGAGTGTGCACACACAGAATAACTTCTGGCTTCATTTTCCTGCCAGCTATCAGATAGCATTGCTCATGCACAAATCTTTCAGTATTTAATATTCATAAAGCAGAAGCATCTACTGATCCCAGTTAGGATCAAGAAATTTTATGTGATGATGTACAAAACAAAGATTATCACTGTTCTGCCACAAAGAATTTATAGTTGGACAGACTGACAGATTAACTATTTCTGCACTAGTTGTTATGTGAAATGTATTTCCTAATCTTATTCTAGTCACTCCTTAATGCAAATATGACACTATAGGTATGCAAATATGACACTATAGGTAGCTCTGTGCAGTAATGTAGGGCACTCTTGCAGCAAATGCAGAACAGTGCTCTACTTCAGCAGCTACTGAGGCAAAACTGTTACTTTGTTTTAATGGCTTTTTTTGTATTTTGGTGAGGTGGGGTGATATTTTCATTGATCTATTATATCTCAGTGGAAAGTTACATGATAGTGCCAGTCAATCTGAATGCACTTTAAAAGATAATTATCTTTTCAGTTCTAAAGAAAAGTTGGCTAACATTAACAAAAATATTCATTTTGAGTGTCTTCCTAAAGGGAAAAATTTGACATTTGGTTTCAAAATGCAGCAATATTTTTGAGATGTGACCCTTCTCCAATATATCTTTGCCCAAAGGAGGTGATATCATAGTGATTTGCTTGTGTTTGGTTCATATAATACTTACTCTTAACAATGACAAAAAGGCTTTTCTAGTGCAAGAAGTATGGGGGGAAAGAAATTAAAAAATCTTCACGAGGGACTCTTGACCACGATCAACCCCTTGAATCCTTCTCTAGAGGCACATGAAGAAAGAACAGGTTACCTTTGAGGCAAGTTTAGTATTTAAGCATTCTTTAGGAAACCTGCATTGCTGAGAGACAACAGCTTTCCGAAGGCTGAGCAGAGAGCGAGATGGGATCAGAGCTCAGGAGTAATGTTTCCCAGTCACATGTGACCAGCAGCTCTCTTCTGTAGCCCACTAAAGGCCTCTGGCAACCTAAATTCCCCAAATGAGGCAGTAGAGGATGCTCCTTCAAATATCTCCTTGATGCCAAGGATGTTTCTATGGTAATTCTGCATTCAAAGTTACTGGTTCGTGTTGCATGAGAGGCTACACAAGGGCCCAAGGAAATGAATGAACCTGTCTAAGGTTGTGCATACCCAGGGGGCTTCCATAATTTTTGGGTGCACAGATATACAAAGACGGAATAATGACAATGTTGTGCTGCACTTCATTTGTTGAATTACTTCAATACCTTGCTCACAGATGTGTGCATGTGAATCTAATCAAACAAACTCCTCGTAGACAGCAGAGATTATTTTGAGAGATTATTCCTGCTTCTGCTACAGGAAAAGAAGCATCAGCCTTTCATAGCTTCTTGAATACAGGGAGGTGTGTGCACATGCATACACTAACAACCACATACCCCTCCCTGTATATATATCAAAAATAATGTGAGAATAACATTTTTCCTCTATATAGCACATTATTTTCATAAAGGATGATTAAAAGCAGACATGCCTTTTTATGCAGAAAAAACCCCACACCAAAACCTGTTTAATTGTTCATCTAGCTGGCATGATCAGAAATAAATATTTGGGAACAAAGATATTTCTGTATCCCTTGAAATTGTAGAATAGGAAATATTTCTGTGGCTTTCCTTCTTGAATCATATTTTGCTTCCGATCCTAAAACAGCACATTCAACTATTCAATTTGCTGTTCAATAATAGTGACTCACATTGCCTTTTAAATGCATACAAGAAAGTTGCATCTTTTTGTTTTCATTTTCCCTGTGTGTTTGTTGCATACTGACATCAAATTCCCTGCAGGCATCCTAACCTTGCAATTGGAGAAACAGCGCTCCAGGGTTTTCCACATGTCTGATACACCTGGATAAAAAGTGCTAATTGTCACCAACTTGCATTAAATGACAGCAGTAAGGCACAAAATATGCTTGATTTGCAGATGCTAGTGCCATTGGGAATTAGCAGCAGATTAATAATTGTGTAGACCTTGAACATTCCCCTGGCACTGCCAGCCTGGGTTTCCAGTGCAACGTCAGACTACAAGGCCCTTGTTTTTACATTACTTTCCTGAGGAAATCAGGCTTAGGCTTTTGCATTCTTTCCCTGTGTGTGTTTGGCTGTCCTACCTTTCCACAATAATTTCTGATCAATCTGAATTAATTTTAAAGGAAAGTAGAGGTTGCAAACATACAGTGTCCATAGTAGTTTTGTGAAAAACAGGCAGCTTGGTAGATATAATCAAGTCTTAGCCTAAGTGTTTCAAATATCCTGATTTTTTAAATTCGGATATTCTTGTAGATAAATAAACCCTAATTCTGTTCAAATTTTGTTGGCTCTGAAAGTAGAAGGGAGATGTACCATATTACATATTCAGCAGGCAGCAACTTTGCATCCTTTATGGGTCAGGTGACAAACTAGGTTCCCAGTTTGTGGTGACTTTTTCCTTTTTACAAACCTATCTGCCAAAAAAATCCTTTTCCACCTTGAGGCTTTGAATGGGAATCAGGAGCCAGCTTCTTGCACAGGTTCACCCTTGCTCCTTTTTCCTCCAAATAAATTCAGGGGCTAAGGCTGTACCTTATCTCCTCTCTTCTTGATCTGCTGCTGCTGCTGTTTCCTCTCTGCTCGGCGCACACAAAGACACCACCCCGATGGCATGCAAGGCGGCTCGGGTGGCATTGCAAAGCTCATTTCTGCAGGCAGCAACATGATTACGGCGAAGGTGAGGGCGAGGTTGGGCAAATGTGTTTCAACACTTCTTTCTTTGTATTTATCACCGTGCCATAGCATTCCTGCAGCCTGGCCTGCTGCTGCTCCAGCTGCCTATGCAAACTCCTGATGGAGCGCAGCAGCAGGAGCCGTCGGTACATTGCTAGCTGGAGCTGGTACTTCTCCTTTTCCTCCTTCTTCTTCTTTTCTAAGGTCTCCATTACTGTTGTGGTCTTCATCCAAATCACACGGCCCAAACTGCAGGAGGCCATGCTGCTCTGGGTGTCAGTCCCTGCCTGCTGGGTGTCATTCCCTGCCTGCTGGGTGCCAGTCCGTGCCTGCAGGGCCTCACCGGGCACCCTCGGGACCTGCAGCACCTCTGAGCTCAGTTTGCCATCACAGCAGGGGCTTTTGTCATACAAGGAGGCAAGGTGCACAGGCAGCAGGTTATCAACTGCTGCAGGGCATGAGGAGGCACCCAAGGATGCATCTACAGCTGCCAGAGGATGCTCAGCCAGCCCACGGACTGTTGTCTGTGCCTGGCCACCACGAACGATCTCTGGGCCAGTTGGGGCTTTTAGCTGCTCCACTGCCCTGCTGCAGAGGACAGACAGTCTTTCTGGCTCTGCTGAGCTTCCCTTGTCTTCATCAAGGCTGTCTAGTGAAGGGCAGGCAGAGCAACCAGGGGATGCTGTTACAGCAACTTGAGTAGGAAACCTGTCTTCATCATCACTGCTGTTTTGGATCTTCTCTTCATCTCTTGATATTACAGCTGCTCTCTCAGCCATTTAATGCATTAGCTACAGAAACTTTCTGTGGACAAAGTGGAAGTAAAAGGATTTCATTTTCACATACACACACGGAGAAGCCCAGTGTAGAGTGACATTTGAAGAAAGAACCTCTTTTTATATTTAAGCAATGGACCTATTACTTTTCTAATAAAGCACAACCCTTGGGTCACTTCAGGCCATTTCTTGTGATTTGCATTAGATGTTCTTCGAGACACAACATTAATCCAATAATAATTAAAATGATATACTGTACTATTAACATTCTCAAATCTTTAAAGGCAAGTGATCTATCCCTGCAGCACTGGCTGTGCTGACTAATTAAACAGAATACAGTTGTAAATGGGCATTGTAAGCACTTCTCCCATTTAAGAACACAGCTCTAACAAGTGTCGTTTGTAGAGATGGGCGAGTTATTGGGATTGATCATCTTTAAAGGGAGGTGGACATACCACAAACAGCAGGTTGCATTTAAATGCCCTCTCCAAGATTAATCTGTCTGCTACCAGTTTGTTTACAAGGTTGCCTTTCCCCCTCCTATTAATTCTAACAGTAAAGCTATATTAGCACCACGCTAGCCAAAGAGAGGAAAAAGAAACCAAACACTTACCGAGGTTACGGGGGGGAAGGAAAAGAGTTACAGTGCATTATATCTGTGTATCATATTTTCTTGGATGTGAGTCAGCACAATCTGGAACAGAAACATCACACTGCTGGAGCAGGAGCAGCAGCAGCAGCAGCAGCATTACGCTGTTCCACCCAGCAACAACACAGTCAGTCCCAATCACAGAGGAGTGCAGGGCTGCTTTCTTCCTCCTCAGTGGGCATTCCTTCCTGGCGTGCAGCTTTTATGTCATCTTTGAGCATCAAAATGAGTACCAGGATTGGATGGCACTTTTTTCCCACCTCAAAACCAAACACTCCTGATTCACCCATTCTACAGGGGGCAATACCTATGGCCCTTCCCATCCTTGACAGCCAGCAAAGAGATAGCACAGCGTCAAAAGAGCATGAGGTACTCTGGACTCCAAGTATGCGTGTTTTCTTTCAGAAAAAAAAGCCAAGCTTAGATAAACTTCAGCTGCATGAACAAGCTAAACCTAAAAATAAAATAAGCATTCAGCAGCAACCAAATGCTAACCATGAAGACGGGCAGAAGCTGTAGATCGAAGTGGTAATGTACACCCATGTTTAATGAGGCTGGCATAATCTTTAAAGAGCAGCACTGCATCCAACTAAACCATCACACAAAACAATAAACTTTATCTGCACTTTTGATGTTCAGACAAGCTACCTTCAGCATTGTCACTTGTTGTAGCGCCAGGAACAAAATTCACAAATTATCTACCTACATCTACTTCAATCAATTTACCATAGGGCTTCAGTTGCCCCAAGACTTTCTCTACTCTATTCTCTAATATAAATAGAAGAAAGAAGCAATCCAAAATGCTATCTAAAATCTTCCAGCAGCTGGAAAAGAATGAAAGTAGATCCTATCTTCACTTCTTTGTGTGCTGCAACAGAGATAATAATTTCTTTTTTTTTCATCTGTACTGACTAGCCTTCTTTCTGATGAATCTGCTAGGATATGCTTACAAACTTGAACATACAAAGCCTGGTTAATATTAATTCAGATTTATACCTTAAGATATAATTTGAATGCATTTTTTGGTGCAAGATATAATTTGGACAGAATTTCTAAAATAAACTAAACCTACTGTGTTTATGTGCCAAATCATGCTGCAGTTTATATACATAATGTAAGAAAGAGATTAATATCCAGTGAGTTAGTATACAGTGCAAGTTCATATCTTGGTGATTCCCATTTATCTGAATCACAAGCTACGGTAATTGAAGAATATGGAATTCAGATAACGGGGATTTTACTGTATTAACACATTGAAAACGTTCATTGTAATACAGCATTATGTAGAGAGTTCTTTGGTTTCAGCTTCTCTCATCTCCAAAGCACTGCAGGAATATCTCCCACTACAAAGAGGACAGGGGATGGGTGCTAAGGAGTGTACCTGATCTCCAGCTATGTCAATACTTTTCTATAAGCTATAGCATTCTGTTCCTCACTTCTACCTCTGTAGCAATTTGCTGCAAATAAGTATTTTCTAATAGTTTAACAAGGCATGAAAAAACAGAGTTTCGGTTTCCAGGGTGCTTTTTGTCATTTTAGTTGTTTGTTTGTGGATCCTGGGTTTTTTTGTTTGTTATTTCTCTGCTGCTTTATTTTTTTCAGCAAAATTTTAGTCAATACTCTTTAAGGAGATGGGCAGGGGACCAAAAACATCATTTTGCACACCAAATTAGTGTCACCAAAAACAATAATAAATGTTTTTTACTTGTGGATCTGAATGGAATAAACAGCACCTGATACAGTCAACTAAACAATAAAATTCCAATCAAAACTCATTGAGATAGATGGCTTTTCATAGAATATTATGACTTCAGCTATAATCTATGAAGCTTAATAGCAAAAAAATATTTAGTCTATTAGACTTTGAGAATCAGGAAAATAGAAATACTGTAAAAAATACATATTTTGTTGTTGCTAAAATGCAAGATCTTTTTATGGTAAGGGCTGCATGTATGTTTTTATTGTTACCCTTCACTTCATTGTTCACGACTTCATAAAATCTCAGCTAAAGGACCAGATGGAAAGGTTCTAGCCTCTGTTTCTGTCTAAAGGTGAACACATACCAAACATTTCAGCCGAAAAATAGAGATGCTCCAGTACAAAATGGGGAACAAATCCAGTTTTACAACTGGGAAGACTTAAGGAAACCTTTCAGGAGAAAGGTCTCTTGTGTAACCAACAGACTGGAGAACAGGGAAAAAGACCAGACCTCATTTCAGTTGGAAACATGTTAATGCTTGTTCTGAGATGACACAACGATCCTATTCACCTAAGACTGTTACCTTGATGAAGTGGATCTCACAGTTTATCTCCCTTTTATCTGCAATTTGACAGAGCAATAGAGACCTGGAAAGGCCTTATGTTAATTTCTTCTTCATTGTGCTATTTCTCTGATGAAGAAATAGGAGAGTTTGCTGTTCCTCCTAAGAACTTGTCTCAGGCAGACTCTGCTCAATACCACTTGCTCACCCTTGGGCTTGTTTTTCTGTTTGTAGGAACCTTTCCAGGCAGAAGCTGCTTCAGATTTCAGTGAACATTTATGTCAGACCAACACACTGAGAATTTCAGGCAGGTAAAATGAAAGCCAAGATGCCTCTGGTTGAGGTTCATTGCCTTTCATTACCACCCACTCACAGGCTGATGCAACTGCAGCAGTTTCAAGGTGTCAATAAACCCTGGGGAGCCACCTCCAAGCTGTCAGTCCTGCACACCCCTGAGAGGTCTATGTCAGCAGAGGTTTTTAATCCATCACACTCTTTCAGGGAATAGCTACAAGAGGTGCTGGGAAACCTGCAGGCTCAGGAATGTAAGCATGTGCTGGAAGTCTCTGTGCTTGCAGGTCCATGGAATGAGTGCTGAGCCATCACAGTTGGGTTTTGTGTGGTAGCAGAAAAGGCCTGGTCACAGCGGAGGCCCTGCAGATGGCCAGGACAAGTATGTATATTTCTCTTCCAAATATGATGCCATTCTCAAACATGGACAGACGTGAGGACAGGAAGGCGCTTGGGCTAGTATTTCATTAAGTACAAATATTTTACTGAATTTCAAAGCACAAAAGCACATTTACAAACAGCATCAAAGGTTAGATGTGCAAACTCTATTGGAGAAGATAGGCTATTAACAGACCGAGGCCTGGGATATTATGTTGTTTTGCATTTCAGTTTGGGGAATATTTTTAACGAAGTATTAAAAATTATCCCATTATACAGTAGTGTAATTATATATTTTATATTAATTTCTCTTAAAGATCAAAAGCCATATTTTGTCTGTTAATGCATGCACTCACATGGCCTTCTGCGAGCTCAGTGAGACTCACGTGTGCAAATCTGAGGCCTAAATTTTTCCCCAAAGATTCTTTAAAATCCTTTTACAGGGGAGTAAGTTATGGAAGAAAGTCATATATTCCCTATCTTCTGCCTTCATACCCAAAAAAGGCAGGAGTTATTACAGGCTGCTCTGGATGGCATGGGATGGTGATAATATCCCAAGAGGTAGTGGCCAGCCAGGGATTGCCAAAATTCTGCTCTCACACTCATCCACACCCAGGATTTTCTCCACTCCTTCTACAAACAGAGAAATAAGAAATTGAGAAATAAGAAATTGAGCCCACTGAAGGCATCAAGAAGTGCTCTAGGCATTTCAGAGGCAGGGAAAAGCATTGCAGGACATCTCTATGGCTTTCAGACAGAATGAAATTAGGAATATGTACAGAGCTGCAGTCCAATTGTGTGTTCTGGAAATAGTTAAGAAAAGTAGAGAGAATACATGATTTTACCAGTTAGGAAAGGTTCAATGGCTTTAAACACAAAAATACAGGCATTTGAGCAGACTGGCTCAAATAAAGGGCAAAAATATAAAGGGTAAAAGACATTGAAACAGTCTGCCACAACTGGTAAAAATTAGCAGGCTTGCTGCCAGTCTCAACAGAGCGGCATGTCAGAGGTACAAATCTCTAAGGGAGTATGCTCACAATGCATTTAGTCTGAGTTTGAGTTGCATTTGCAAGCTTAAAAGTCATAAGAGCGCAGGTGCCAAAGTGACCCAAACACTGGGAAGGGCTTGATGACAAGTCTCACTGCAATATTTCAGCAAGTCTACCCCTAACTATGCTTGGGCTTAGCTATTCCCAGGTACACAAAATGAAAAATACATTTATATGGCTTTATAAATATATTTTAGAAGTGAAATGTTTTGATTTTTCCTCAAGGCAGCAGCTGTTCTCCCTATCGTCTATGTGGAAAGCATTAGTTTACAATTTCAGTCTCCACTCACCAAGTGAAAGAATAACAGCATCATTGCCCAAACCAGCATAAGCCCACATTCCTGCACCAGATCCACAGAGTTGTGCTTTCGTGCTGAAGCAGCCACAAAGGACTTTCCAAAGTCTTGTTATGAAGTCAGGGATCTACTTCAGCCTGCACAACTAGCAGCTGAAGGTTGTCAGAGAGGCCAAGGTGGAAATGGACAACCCATAGGTACAAAACACTGAGATTTTGCTTGATTTTTCTCCCATGTCAGCAGACTAATCTGTACTAGGCAGACCCAACCGGCATCAAATGGGCCAAACAGGCTGCAGAAGAAGCACTTTAAATATAGTTCTTAAAAATTCCAGTACATTTGAGCATGAAGGAAATCTCACATTTCTAGAGTGGGCTCAGAATGATTTGCAGCAAGAATGTCCACAGTGTATACCCCACAAATAAGTGGAGGGACAAAGAGAAATCTGTGTAGTGGGGAGAAAAATAGAAATCTGGGTAGTGACTTAAAAAACCTTGAGAACTGCCAGTTTACCTCATTCACTTTTTCTATTTCTAATGGAGAATATATGCTTGTCTACAATTCATTTTCATACTGAAAAAGAAAATCAAATTATACACTGAAAAAAATTATGAATTGCGAAAAATAATTTCTCCTAACTGTGAAGTGAAAAGGAGATTCTAAAGTATCAAAGGTATCATTTATTTTTCCTCATAATAAAGAAAATACTTCGTTTCATGGCAGCAACATTAAAAGTAATTACAGTCCTGCTTCTATTTTTTTAAATTTAATTTTGTAGAATACCCATCATTTTGTTCAGAAAAAATAAAGTGAAGGAGAGGGAGAGAAGAAAATGCTAAAGAATTTAAAGTAGAAGATTGTGTAACCTGAGATTGCAGTCTTCCTATGGAGAAGAGACTAAAAAGTTGTTCCTGCAAAAAAGATGGTATTTGAATAACCTCCAGTATTAAAAGATTTAAAGGTATTGC